TTGAAAAAAGTCAAAATTGCAAAATATTAACCCAAATTTGTGATTTTTCCTTTTCATCCTGTGGCAAAAACTGCCTTCCAAAAAGAGAAATATCGTTGCATCATATTAGTTCCATATGTAACATTGGTCCAATAAAACTTTCACTCTTTGCATAGTAGCTTCTGCGAACACTCGCACTTCTCTCTGTCAGTCTCCTTTGGGTTTTGTGGCAAACTTAGAGTTGAGTGGTTGTTTGTTAGTAAAGACAGGTGCAGGCCTCACCCCACCACACACACACGCACACGCACACACACACACACACACACACACACACACACACACACACAAACACACACACACTTGCACTCACGCGCACACACACACACAGTATAAACAGACCCAGTAGAAAGGGACTGGTCTGACAGAATGCCTTTTCACACCTGACTGGGCCTAGCATAGGGCGACAGGCCAGAGCTCCCAAAGCACGACACACGCGCACACACACATGGGTATCTGTACTGTATTTAACTTTGAGCCCTCTAGACTCCAGGATAGTTTAAAGGCCTTAAAGACCGTCTGTTGAGGGTGACTCAATTTAAGTACCTACACACACAAACAGAACCAGGGCAGGACCCAGAGGATGAAAGTAATGCACAAGCAGATGGACTCAGCCCAGCAGAACCAAGTGGACCTGTAGGAAAGCATCACACACTCTTTTAAAACCCTTATAAAGCCTGCAGACCCGGGCGACAGTCAGCATATGTTGTCCATGGTCAGGCACTGACACAGGCTAAAAACAGCAACTCACTTTAACAGCAAAAAAACCTGAAGCTGAACAAAACAACTGTGCAAATATTTTTCACTTCAAAAACTGATAGTAAATTTTACAATAAATTATTATAAGGAAATTGCTAGTAACACACTAAAATTATGAAAGGTAAATAAACATAATTACCATCAATATGCCAGAATTATTACACACAAAAAAACTTTTAATATGCAATCTCTTTTGAACTGTTTTCTTTCTGTTTGCTTTAAAGAGACATCTAAAACCTTGTGAATTTCTGTTCATCTTACCATCTGATGTGTTTTGTAAAGAAATTTCAATAATTCAGAAGTTTTGTAAAAGGACAAACGGTCTAATAAAAAATATTTAGTCAGTAAATAATAAACCATTTTTGTTACCATACTGGGCATATATACAGTAGTTCAATATGGCAAAAACACAACAAGCATGCTCTGCGGTGTTTAACTTTGGAAAAGTTTACACAAAATAATAGGTTTGTTCATTCTTTCTTACTTTTTCTTTAGTTTCTTTCAATCTTTTTTTGTTTATTCTTTTTCTTTCTTTATTTCATTCTTACTCTCGTTATTTTTTTCCTTTGATTTTTCTTCATTTTGTTCTTTTTTGTTCTTTCTTTCGTTCTTTTATTCTTTCTTATGTTTGTTCGTTCTTTCTTAAATCTTTTCTTTCTTTCTTTCTTTCTTTCTTTCTTTATTTCTTTCTTTCTTTCTTTCTTTCTTTCGTTCTTTCTTTCATTCCTTCTTTCTTCGTTTGTTTTTTTTTCATTCTTTTAATCTTTTTCATTTGCTTGTTTGTTCTTTCTTTTTTTGTTCCTTCTTTCGTTTGTTCGTTCTTTCTCTCGCTCTTTCAATTGTTTGTTCTTTCTTTTCTTTCTTTCTCTCTTTCATTTGTTTGTTTGTTCTTTCTTTTCTGTTCTTTCTTTCTTTCTCTCACTTGTTTTTTCTTTTGTTTTCTCTCTTTTTCTCTTTCGTTCGTTGGTTCTTTCTCTTTCTTTCATTTCTTTTTCTTTCGCTCTTTCTTTCCTTTTCTCTCTTCTTTCTTTCTTTCTTTATTCTTTCTTTCTCTTCTTCGTTCTCTTTCTTTTTAGTTCTTTTTCCTCTCTTTCTATATTTCTTTCTCTCTTTCCTCTTTGTTCTCTTCAAGTGCATACAACATTTTCTCACATTTTTACAAAAATCTTTTAAATGTCAACTTCTTAATATTTTACCTAGACAAGCTAAAAGCTCTTACGTAGTACCAAAAAGCAAAAATAAATAAATAAATAAATAAATAAATAAATAAATAAATAAATAAATAAATAAATAAATAAATAAATAAATAAATAAATTTAAGGTAAGTTATAACTTGTTGCCAGTTCTTTTTTTCATTCTGTCAAATCAAGAATTGTGGATGATCTTCTTTTGACCTGATGTGGTGTTACAATGGTGCTCTGAGTGAGGTTTATCAAAATAACTTGGTTTTTGCTCACATTTCTTTTTCTTTTTCTCTTTCTGTTTTTTGTGAGTTAATTGATTAAATAATGTATTAATATTTTTGCAATGCAGTGTTGTTAAAATCAAACTTTCTTTCTTTTTCTTTCTTTCTTTCTTTCTTTCTTTCGACTTTAAGTGGAAATTATTAAATGCTATATACAGATTATTGTAGTACATAACACCATATTGCAGTTTCCATGTTGTACATTAAAGTAATGTGTGATATTAATTAAATGCATGTACATTGAGATTGGGGTTTATATAAGAGTGTTAAGGATAAAGAATAGTTTAATGTCATTATTACAGTGGACATAAGTAACAATAAAAAAAGTTATAAACTGTATATAAAATCAGCTTAGTTAAAAAAAAAAAGAATTGTATGCTTCAATCTAAATTATGCATATACTGTATGTACGCACAAAACCATGCAAAAAGAGACACCCAAAACTGATGTTTAATTCTAAAATTGTCTGAGAAGATTTCCTCTACGATCAAAAATCTAAATATTGTGATTAAGAGAATTAAACTAAAAATATCAAAATAAATGTTTTACTTGCTTGTACATTTTAGCATTATTCTTTCATTCATGTCAAAACAATTGCAACAATTTATAAAAAACTCAGGAAATTTTCTTTTAACACTGAAGAAAGGACTCATAAAGCTGAGAAACGGTGAAACTGAGAACAATTCTTTAAGACTTTTAACCTTCCACAAAGCTCTTTAACAGCCCCGGAGGCAACATTTTCCTTTCTTTTTATTCTCCCTTCGTTCTCTTCACTCTGCCACCCCGCGCACCAGGCTAGCGCTAACGATCTGGCCTTTTCATTAGGCAGGCTAGCTAATTAGACTGTGTGTGTGTGTGACGGGTCGAGTGACTGCTTGGCGCAGCGCGATGCTGGCAGCCCATTTCATGCTTTATCACGTCTTTTAATTGACAAACAACCTGCTCTTTTCTCTTAGGCTGAGGTCTATATTCCAGGAGTCTGTATGTGTGTGTGTGCAGATGTTTTAGCGCCCCTTGACGTTTAGCTGTGTGTGTGACTGTCACATGCCTTTTCACCCTGCTGGATCTTTGGGGAGAAAATGCTCACTGAGTTTGCCAATTAACCACTTTCAGATTGTTCTGTGACAAAAACGCATACACACAGACGGACGCAAATGCTGAAAAACGCACACAGCGACTCAAAACTCATGTAAACAAATCCTGAAGTCACAAATATCTCAGAGACATAAAAAAGCAGTAACTTTATGCACTTTAACACAAGGCTAGTTATCAAATAAGCCCTTAGTGGTGAATGAAAGCTGATCTCTCTCCTCCACTTAGACACACCGCCAGGAGTCCGCCATTTATTCACATTCACACAAAAGGCAAAACCAGCGGGACCCTTGGATTTTTTTCTCTGCTTGTCGCTATCATGACTAATACTGCTTGTGGTGAATGTGTGTGTTTACATATATGTGATGCATTACACACAGAAACAAGTTATGATGAACTGGAAAAAGAACAAATAAATGGGCCACTCTGTATTTTGAGGTACAATTCTCATTACTAATAAAACTGAAACTTATGCCTCAATAACCCTCTAATTTGCCACTTATTAATAATAATTATTACGGTAGTATTTAGGTTTCGGTGTTAGGGGTGTAATATAAGGCATACAGAATATGTACTTAATAAATACATGTCAATTAAAAAACAGAGACTTTAGCTAGGCATGGGGATGATAACTGTTTTCAAGGTATACCACGATCTGAAAAATTCAAGTTTTTAAAACTGCTTACATTTTCTGCTATACCACTCCTAAGGTGCGTGTAAGATTTTTTTTATTTACGTTTTTTTTTTTTTTTTTTAGGACAACAATATATCCAGAAGATCTCTAAAGATGCTGTTTTAAATTGCTGCAAGTTCCACCAAGTCAAATTTAAGACTTTTTAAGACCTTTTTTTAGACCATGAAGAATAAAATATTAGACTTATATCCTTAGTTAAACGCTACGGATTTTCTTAATAGCCCAACAGACGTGTTTAAAATCATTTAAGACCTCTAAGACAATATTTCAGCGAATTTAAGACTTTAAGGCCAAAAGTTTAGTTTTTGTAATTTAAGATGTTTTAAGAATTTTTAAGACCCAGTGGACACCCTGGTTTACTTTCTCCAAAATATTTTAAATGCTTCTCAAAATAAAATATTTTGTGCTTAAAGGGGAAAACAAGTTTTTGTATTTTCTCCAGACATTTAAAAAAAAAACATAGTTTGGAGCAGTAATCACCATACTATGAAATCATAACATTTCTTTTCCCAAAACAATCATACGTCAGAATCTTACACCGGCCCATGTCTAACTTTAATAATAGGCAGGTAATGAGCCACTAATCAATAGTGAGAATTGTTACTTGAACCAAAGTGTTGGCGTTTTGTTATCATATACTTATCATTTTGTTATCATATTCCTTATTATATACTTAAAAAAAAGAAAAAGAAAAAAGGATTTTTGCTGCATGTTCAAACAACTCAATTAAAATGAGATAAAACCTCACATTTCTTGAGGTCTTTTGGGGAAAACTTAATTGGTTTGTGTTAAGAAAACATAAAGAGATTGTGTGAAACCCAGCATTTCTTACAGCGCAATTCAGATGATTACCATAATCAGTCATTTCCTTGGGCAGATTCTGTACACAATCAATGCTTTCACAAAACTTGTCTTTACATTTCATATAAGAGACATATGAGAAACAGTGCTTACTGTAAGGTGGTACTGTCTCCAGATTTGTGGACAGGCCTGTTGAAAACAGAAAAAGGTTATTGTGAAAGCCAAATATTTACAAGAAATAACTCTGAAACTTAAAGTAAACACAATCACATACAGATTTTTGTAATTAAACAAAGACACAAAATCCATGGAATGAGTTAAGGTCATTAAATGTCCATCTTTGATATGTTTGTAAATCTATACTTTCTGTTTTGCTATTTCTACTTTAAGTAGTAGTTTTGTTGTCATTGATTATACGTACAGCATTTAGAGCAATTACATATCAAACTACAAATAAATCTATAAAATAATCCCATCCTAAAACAACACTGTTGAAAAATAAATTATTTGTCAAGATCCCTCACTTTAATAGTTAAAATCTATTTTTAAATGAGCGTTCAACAATTTTATAAAAAATATAAACAACAACAAATGCTGAGGAAACTTCTATCTTGTTTCATCTATTCACATACATATCCATCTTTGCTCTTCCCAAAGTAAAACTGAACAATTGACATTGTTTCCTAATTTTTTGTGAATATCTATATCCTAAAATGAACAACTGTTTAGAAAAAACTACATAAAATAAATAAAAAAAACTCTCTAGCCATGAAAGCAATGACAAAAAACGACAACAATACCGAAAAAATGAAAGACAGTCTCATGAAGGGTACAAAAAGAACAAACATGATTACAATCAGAGTTCAACAAAGAAATAAAAGCACTGACAGCAACAGCTGAATGAAGAACCCTCCTCTGTAAATCAGCAGCTTTCTTCAGCAATGGAGATTTGTATAGTGCTCTCCATTCTGGTCCAACATGATGCTAAAGCTACGTGGGCTCTCCAAGGAGTTTGCTTATTTAGTTTCTTATTATTCAAAATCCTAACAAGCAGTCTGTATACCAATTTTCTATCAGCATCATGCACATATTTGGATCCTCAACTTAAAGAAAATAAAAAAGACACTGAGAGAAAGAAAGAAAAAAAGAAAGAAAAAGAAAGAAAGAAAGAAAGAAAGAAAGAAAAAAAGAAAGCAAAATGGACAAAGGAAAGCAAAAAATAGTCAGTAAATAAAAATGGCGGAGAAAAGTGGAATGTGAAAAACATTTTAAAGAGGAACAGAAAAAAAAACAAAACAGGAAAAAGAAAAGGTTAAACAGAAAATAGGAAAAGGGAATTTAACTGGAAAAATAAAAAAGTGGCAGATAAAATTAAAATAAAAAATAAAATAAATGTATGGTAATAAATTAAAAAGAACAAGGTAAAAGAAAAGATAAAAAATAAAAAATAAAAATAAACAGGATAAGCAAGAAGGAATAGGAAAAATAAACTAAGAAAGTTAAGTACAACAGCAGAAGTGAAAAGTGCAATGTTGACAGCTGGAGTCGCCCCAACAGACACTGAGTATTTAACAGACCATGAGTAAGCAGTGCATTTACCCTGCGACTCCCATTTGCCCCATCTTTCTAAAAACTGAAAGTGTTGAGGGCACAGCAGCCAGGCTCATTTATACAGTTAGCTTTTCATTTAACCCCACCTGAAGAAAAAGTCAGAGGCTCCAGCACCCCTGTAGGGTCACCCTGCTGAGCGTATTGAAGAAAACATTCAAAATCTTTAAGAATCTGCTTTCCCTTCTCTCACTTGCTGTGACGAGATCATACAGCAATGAAGCTATTAAACCCATCTCCATATACTGCCAGATGCAAAATCCTCAAAATTAATCATTTTTTAAAAACTTTTTTGTGAATTAAAGTGACAGGCATTGTGTTAGGGTTTGTTTCTTTCTTTCTTTACAGGGTCAATGCACATGAATCAACATGTTACTGTAAAATGTGCCAGAATTAGCCAGGAATGTTTATTTTTCATCTGTAGACCCTTGACAGAATGTTAAAAAGGCACAGCTAAAAATAAAAGCATAGCATAATATCACAAAATATAATATAACATGTGTATATAAAAATGTTATAATAGTTTTGGATTTTTCATTAGTTTTATTTTTTATTTAATTTTAAATTTTTGCTTTCAAATTTAGTTTGTTTAAATTAGTTTTTAGAGGCAGATTTACATTTACAGTTTCTATATGTTTCAGCATTAGTTTTTTTTTTGTAAATTATGAAATTTGTTAAGGGTGCAAGATTCAAAATCATCAGAATAAATATTGCATAATAAAAACACAAACAAAGATACCCTAACGTTAATTTTTTTTGACACATAAACATTACTATCTATCACTACCATCTACCTATCCTCAAATTCAAATACAACAATCCACAAGACAGCAGCCCTAAGTACAATGTGTGCAAGGCTGCTTCTGCGGTTAAATAAACAGTAGTGATGGGAAGTTTGGATCTTTAATTTGAACTGGAAATTTTGTAACAATCTTCCCAAGTTTGGACTCAACATATCCAAAATTCATCATCAGCAATAATTTCAGTCAGTTAAAACATCAAATCTGAAAAGATTCTAACATTTACATTTTGCAACCCAACTGAAACATGATTCCCTTATTTAAATTCCATTACGAAAGGTCTGTTTCACCAGATCCTCTGATTTTAGCCCTCGGTTTCCCGCGCTGCAGTAGTTCAAGTTTACCTCAGTCACAGCAGGTTGTCATGTACGGTTTATGTTCGATTGACCTGCTGAATCACGCATGCACAGTATTATCGGTTCACCGCTTCTCAAATCTGATTTTAGTTTACTGTTCTAATAACTGAATAACTCAGTATATTTTGGTTTATTTGGGTCAGAGGTGGGTATAAGGCCTTTTTTAAAAGTAAGTAACTTGCGAGTAAGTGCTTAATGTTACTGGAGTCGTGAATCATTTCAAATGATTCAGTTCGATTTGGTGAATTAGTTCAACTGGTTCATTTATAAGATCTGGTTAGAAGATCCTTTCAAAAGGATTAATTTGCGATCACAATACAGAAATAAAACCCAATATTGGGCACAAATGTGTTAAATTAATACTTTTAAGTGTCTGCTTAGGTCGTATTTATTATTGTCACCGTGCTGCTGTCATGTCCAGTCGTTGTTTTTGTCGCTGGAGCAACAGCAAGGATGACTGGAAGAGGACCGGCTTGATCTGGCCAATGGCAGCAGGATTACAGAATCTGAGGTGCGTCCGGGTGAAACACTGGCAGCGCAAAGTATTTTTACTATAACTTTAGTTAGTTTTGTATATACACAATTTCAGTTTTAGTTTTATTTTTAAACTATTGTTTTATTTTTTTTTTTTTCAGTTAACGAAAATTATTTTTTAATTCTAGTTTTCTTTTTTTCGTATGTTTTGTTACTATAATAACCTTGGTATATATATAAATAAGAGACAACGACATGAAGCAAAAAAGGAGGGGTCATTTCAATAATGGGCAAATACTGAAGCTAATTTTAGATTCTTATTTTTGCAAACAAAAATTATTAAATCACAAACTGTTCCAAATTAATCACAGATGTTTTATAACATATTATCAGAGTGGTGAGTAATTTAAATAATAATAAAAAACATTGAAGTATAAATAGGGAAAACATTACAGGGTTGATTAAAAAACATTATAGGGTTGATTAAAAAAAAAAAGTAAAAACTTTACAAACATTTACATACCCAAAGCCAGTTTAAAAAAGCTAATATCAAGAACACCGGTCACTCATTATTATGAATTATCCTACAGTGAGCTAGAATCTGGAAAGCAAATGGCCCGGCTGATATTTGTTAACTCTCAGAGTTCATTAGCAAACTCCACATTGCCGTTTTTGAGACCGCTGTAATTATAGATTATAAGCATAATTAAAACTCATGTTGTACTGGCGGATGAAGAATTGTTTGTTCAGTTAACCAGCAAAGATCAACCACCATAACATCCTATATTTACTGCACATTCTAATCCAGATTTATCAATAACCAGAAGTCTTACAGGGCTCATGGACACTGATCTATGAAAAATGTACAGTTTAGGAAATATAAAAAACAAATGTAACTCATTTTGACTAACAGAATTCAGCAGAATATTGGACTATTTAACTGCACTTCAATCCTAAATGTGTTTGTTTGTCATGTTATGCATGAATGGGACCCAATTTTGTTTCAATTAAAACTATGCCAAAATTATATTAAAAATGTTTCCAAATCACAAGACAACAGAAGATGAACAAAACTTAACTAGCTTGTGTGGTGAGGGATTGTGTTCTAGTTTTACAAAATAACAACAAAATATTTACAAATACTGTGTGTGTGTTTTAGTGCTCAGGACAGGAGATGCTTAAACATCAACACAAGATGGAATGGACAGAAATGCAAACAAGAAAAAAAAAATAGTTCACCTCACAAACTGTGGCAGATACAAGACATCATTTCAAAGCTCTGTTTTAGTAGGTTTCTGCAAGTTTCACCATGTCAAATTGTAGAGAAGTGTGACTCGGTACTATAGAGATTGTCTACTTTAATAGCTGGGTGTCTGTTTGTTTTGCCTAGATTCATATTTTCTTGTAAAGAAAGTTAATCATATTACAAAATATATTTCTCTTGTTTCTTATTTCTCTAAACAAAATCAGCAACTTTTGTAAAAGCAGCAGTTCATGTGTGTTTTCTTGTTGAACTCAATTAATACCTTCATCATTCATAAATTGTTTTGAAGTAAATTGAAGTGTAAAATTAAACACCGTTTAATACATTTTAAGACTGTTATGAATGTAACTTAAGACCTAACAAATGTCTATTTTGTAGTCGTAATACAACTAATAATTCCAAATATAATGTATTAAAATATATAATGTAATATTTTTGAATATATTGTCCAAAAGATGTCTAACAGAGCAAGAGCTTATCTAGTTTATTTCAGCATCAGTATAAACAAACTAAAACGGTGACTGTGCTGGGATTTTACACTTTAAAAAAAAGAAATATCAGAATATCTATATTTTCTGGCATGAGTTGAGGTGTTTGCACATTTACAACGTCCTCTGCTGATGAAAAAAACTCTTTCACTGGGGACTGAGATGGCTGGTGTGAAAAGGTAAGCCCTTCCTAAACCAGAGACCAATGTGTACGGAGATAGTCAATAGGCCCTCTGATCCAGGGGGCTGGCCACTGGCATCAAATACTGATTATAAAATAACTTATTTTATAGTAGGATAGAGACAGGAGTTGAACATGATTATGAAGGTGAATCATTAATATTACTTGTATAATTAATTAGTATAAGTATCAATGTGATACACTTAGGAAAAGATAAAGAACAGTTTTAAATATTCAATAATAAGCTAATTATTAAAATATGCATAAACTAATTTGAAAAGAAATAAAGGGTAAAAATAAATACCTGCTTCTGTAATAGAACAACTTTCTCTTTTGATCTGCAAAACATCTTCACACTTTCGTGATAGAAACACTGATGCATCGTGTGATCTTCGTAGCACTCGTCTGAGCAAGCTGAGCTGCAAAACATCCAGTCCATGTGGTTTGCCTTACTAATATTTTTTTGTGTACAGAAGAATGTGACAGAAGTTTTTCACTTTGTTGATGGTTTATGTGCATCATATTCATTGTTCTGTTAGTGTAAGTAAACATCTTTTTGCAGTATTTGCACACAGTTTGTGTTTTGTCTGGCGCACTTCACCACTGTCATTTTACTCTGCTGACCCAACTTATGCTCGCTACTGATGCGCAGGTAAAGCGAACTTGTGGCTGTAAACACAGTGCCCCCTCTGTTCAAATAATGTATCGCGATTCATTCAACATTTCTACCGATTTAAATTGATGGGCCCTATCATACACCCGGCGTAATGTGGCGCAAGGTGCGACACAATTGTTGTTTGCTAGTTTCAGCTTGGCGCAAGAGTTGTTTTGATGTTTTGTGCACGCTATTTAAATGGCAAATGCATTTGTGCTCATATGTGTGCCCATAGGCGTTCTGGTCTAAAAAGGAATGCGTTCTTAGGCGCATTGCTGGCGCATTGCTATTTTTAGAAATTATAATAGATTTTTCAATAGACCGAAACAAAGCAGGTCGAAAGTCCAGCACAGAGTTGCGCCTCGCTTACACACTGCTTAATACACACAAGATGTAGAGCAATACGCAAACAGGATATAAATATAAAGGATTAAAATATTACAAAAAATTATTTTCTAGCCTACATAAATATGAAAAACCAAAGCTTTCATGCCTTCTTCATCTCTGGAGGTTCTTTCAGTTCATTCAACTTGCTTTTGTATAATGTTATCATTATTAGCAGTATTATTTATTATATCCATATTTATATTTGTTTTATTAAAAACAAGCTTAGATTTTCCCACCTGTCAGGTTTAGACCATATGGGGCACAGCATGTGTATTGCATGTGTATACAGTAGATGCTTTGTTTAACGGTTTCCTTGGCTCTTAAAGGGAATGGGAGATGAGACTCTGATTGGTTTATTTTAAAAACACAGCTATAACTCATTAAGAAAATAAACTGAACCCTTTTGGCCATGCGCCACGGCACAAAGCGGATTTTTCCGTCCTATTAGCAAAAATGGATTCTGACACGCCCTGAAACTGTTTGCGCCCTGCGCTCTGCGCATGGATCTTCAAAATAGAGCCCGAAATTTCAATCGATTTTCAACCTCTTCATGGTGAATTGTTACGTCCCTATTTATTAAAACTATTATGTTTAGAAATGTGTTGATAAAATCTACAGAGGGGCTAATAATTCAGAAGTGCTAATAATTCTGATTCAATTGTACATTTAAACAAAAGAAATAAATATAAGACCACCAAATCAAAGAAAACATACTAAAGCACAAAGGGAGCACTTACAGTGTTACATGCTCATAAGCAAATTAAGACTAATTTAAAATCATTTAAGATAGGGGTGTCCAAACTCGGTCCCCGGTAGGGCCGGTGTCCTGCATAGTTTAGCTCCAACTTCCTTCAACACACCTGCCTGGATGTTTTTAGTATACCTAGAAACAGCTTGATTAGCTGATTCAGGTGTGTTTAATTGGGGTTGGAACTAGGACCGAGTTTAGACACCCCTGATTTAGGATCTGAAACACAATACTTCAGTGAGCTTTTGCAATAAAATATTTTGTAATTTTTTATTGTCTAAAACTGTAACTTTTTTTATACTAACTTTTTAAGACCCCACAGAAAGCCTGGTTTTAACAAGCTACATCTTCTCGCTTTCATCTCTCCTGCTGTTTCTTAAAGTCACATTATTTCTCTTCCTCCCCCATTTGTGTCTCTCTCAGTGGGGTTGTTGTTGGGGGTGACGAGTGGAGCGTGTGTCCCACTCACAGCCTGTGAAGCGTCTGTCTTAATGAGAGAAAGAATGGCCCAGGAGAGAGAGAGGGAGAGAGAGATACACTTGCACAACTCTGAAACAAACACACACAAACTGAGTACTCACGTCGATGAAGTGTCCGGTCATGCCGCAGCGGTGGCATCTTTTGTACCAAAAGGCTCTCTCCAGACAGTCATCAGAGGTGTGGCCGGGCAGCGAACAGTTCGAGCAGTGACGGTTTGGACAGGTCCTCAGTAAGTGTCCCCGAAGCCCACATAATGAGCAGCACGGCACCTTCTGCACACAAACACACAAAAAGTCACAATAAGCACACATAGCTTTTGCTTTAAAAATCTTTGTCATTGAATTGTCATGGAGCATTACAACTATAGAAAACTTAATTTATAACTTTAGTTTCCACAGTTATTTTATGTAAATATACCTGAATAAACAGTATTCAGAGTTCAAAATAATATCACAAATAAAAAAAGAAAAATATTTAAAGAATATACTTTATTTTTACATTATAAATCAAAAGTATAACTGAATAACTTCTTGTTCTTTATCCTACGGCTACTTAATATTCGTTCATTCATTCAGATTGAATATTATATTAACAGCTAACAAATTTAGTCCAGAATGTTTTATATACACCATGGCTAATCAAATATGTGACCACAAAACCATCATAAATGCAATTCATGCATTTTAAATATGTTTTCTATTGATGTATGCTTTATTAGAATAGGGCAATGTTTGGCTGGTATTTAACTATTAGAAAGTTTGGAATCTGAGTGTTCAAAGAAATCAAAATACCGAGAGAATTGCATTTAAAGTTAAATAAATGAACTGCTTTGAGTAACATGATTTTTAATTAATATTCTAATGATTTTTAACAACAAGGAAAAGCTAAAATTTTGACCCATAAAATGTATTTTGGTTAGTGTCAAACATAGGGTCACATATAATAAATGTTTCACATTGTCTTCATTGTAATTCAGAAATCATGGCCAAATCATTTTTTTTATACGATTAATAACTGTTGTACTGCTTAATATAGGCTCAGAATGGTTGCAATTTGAAAGTCTGCATAAAATAAGAAATGTACAATGGTTATTTAACTAGTACACATTGTTGGTCATAAGGTGAACAATTAATCATTGCAAGTTCTTTGGAATTGCCGTTCTTCTCTGATGTTGTTAGTTTAATGACTTGGGCTGAATAAGCTTAGCCACGCCCCTCCAACTATTAGTTGCGAGTGAAAGATAAGAGCATGAACCTAAAAGTCTGTGTGAACTGAAAGTTGCTGAGACTTTATATCTGTGCGTTGATGTACTTCAACTGAAACGGAACATTGATTAGGGGCAGGGCTTTCTTTCTGCACATCATTCCCTCATGGCAAACTAAAGATAAAAGGGGTAAGGTTAAGAATAGTGGTTGAAGCTGCCAACAGAAGGACCGCCACTCTAAATGCAAAAGCATATAGTCAGACTTTGATTGAAGATTACCAAAACAAACTTTTTTTTTTCTTCAGTGGATTAACTTGCATGAATTCATAGTTAAGCTAAAGAATAACAATGTTTGCTAGCAAAATAAACATTGCAAATTTTGATTTACCTTAAACTTTAATTATTTCAAACCTGATTGAGATTATGTCTTCTGTTAAATACAAAAAAAGATGTTTTGAAGTTTGTTAGAAACTAGTAGCAAAGGAGTTCTATATTATAATTATTTTTTTATATGGATGCCAATGGGAAACGAAACATTAGGACATTTTTTAAATATCATCTTTTGTGCTCAACAGAATAAAAAAAATGGAAATAATGAAGGTTTCGGGTTATTGGTGAGTAAATAAAAGTTTTTGAGTGAACTAATTCTTAAAATATAACATTTAAGTCACACAATATTCCAACATGGATTCATTTTACAGTTCATAATGACCTATAAACAGCTGCATTACACACAGTACTCTACTCAATTTAAATCGATTAATCAATGCAGAAATTGCAAAAATGGCAAAACTGTTTTTCTTTTTGGCTAATGCGTTAGTAAATGTTTAGAGGAAATGAACAGTGACCTTTGCTTTGGGGCAGATGACTGTAGTGAAGGGTGGATAATGATATACCTTTAATGTGGGGCAGTTTTTGGAGAGATGACCAGTCTTATTGCAGTTGCGACACGTGATGGATTTTTCAGTGTAGTATCTGTATGTGGAGCGGTTTGGGACATGCCTCGGGCCGTGCCCTTTATTATAGATCTGAGCCTATACACACACACACACACACACAAAGAAAGAAAAAAAATAGTAATCACCTCATTTAAAAGACTTCAAGAATAACAACAATTATTTAACATTTTAAAAAGAAACTGTAAAGAAAACACTGTTATATTTTTTGATAGCTTCCAGCTTAGCTAAATAAACTGTAACATTACCTGTTTATCCTTTTCTGATACAGTCCACTTCTGCTCTTGCCCTCTGTAATTTACATATTCTACAAAAAAAAAAGATCAGTGCATGAGAAAAACAAACTGAAACCATCAACATAGATTTAGATAAACTTTAATAAGAGATTGTGTTTGATTATGTGTGTGTGGATGGCAAATGAGGCCCACACCCCTAATTTGACCTTTTTTTTTTTGCTCATTCTCAAGAGACAGAAAGACAGTTACTACAGCAATACACAGCTGCACATCAAGCACACACAGCATTGAAATACACCACACACACGTACACAAATAGAAAATATGTGTAATATATAAAAAATACTTAAGCTAGTTTAACATAATAGCTGTACTGAAATATGGGTAACACTGTAATATGGGTGTACATTGTCTTATTTGCTAACAGTAGTTAGAATACATGAACAAACTATGTTTTTTGCATATTTTATAGCATTTTAAATGCTAATTAGCTTGCCATTAAACTTTTAGTAAATAATTGCATTAACTAAGATAAATAAAGGCTTCATGAGCATTGCTAATGGTTGGTTCATGTAAACTGAGAGCTTATAACTAGGCCCACACAGAATCTGGGTGCACAGAAATCCGCAAATATTTAGCCCATAATTGAATCTATTTACTTGTGTAAATGTGTGTAAATGTATATTTATTCAGTTTTAAATATGTTTCAGTAATATTATTGACTAAAATGAAAGTGTTCAAATGACTTATTTACATTATAGTTTAAAAGTAATAGTTTCAGTCTTTTGATAGATATATTATATGAGAAACTTGCTTTGTTAACCAAATAAGTGGATCTAGAGGGATTTGCATTGTGAACATTAGATAAAAGTTATTTTATAAATTAAGTTTTTAGATATGATACCCCCTAAATAATTCAAAATAAATCCGCTGATTTTTACAAAATTCTCAGCAGAAATAGCAAAACACGACCGCAGATTCTGTCTGGCCATACTTACCTAATAAGAAGACCTAATTGTGAAGTTTTTTTGCATTTATTTATGTGCTTTTGGCATTTCATATAACTACAACAAATATAGAAAAAAATACAATACAATAATTATACATATAAAATACATTATAGAACCTATGACAACCAAACAACAGCAAAATATAATTTAGCTGGTCAGGTAATGCATAAATAAAAGTAATTATAAAGTAACATTGTTCTTATATTAACAGAAAAAAATGCACTGACCTGACTATAGTTTTAAAGTCAAATAATAGTTTGGGCACATTATAAAAACCTTATAAAAAATGAATAGTGAATATCAACTACACTCAATCTTTAATTACTATGTTATTGACAGGAGTCATTGGTTATGCTTGCATTTCTTCTAATCTATTAAAAGGTGTTCTAATATCTGTCCCCATGTTTTTAATTTATCATTATTGATATATTTCAACATCTCCGAAGCAAGTATGTTTATGAGATCTCTACCCCATATACCAAATTTAGGTACAGGTTCATTTTTCCACATTTTCAAAATGACCCTTTAGGCAATTATCATACCAAATAACATGGCTTGTCTTTCATGTGTATATTATGCAGCTTCTTGCAACACAAATTATATTCTTGTTAAGAAACACTGTGAAGTTGCACACCATTACTTCTAGAGTCAATCCTTTTAGGTGTTAACATCAAATATAATTTGCAAGAGTGATTTTAAATGCATAGAAAGCACATTGAATTGAACGCTAATATTTCATTTAACTTCTGTCAATGTAAAATGTCAAAGTATATAGGTGAAACAATGCTTCATGTTCATGTATTGTAACAGATATTTATTTGAAAATAATTTAACATTCTGAATATATAAGAGTGATGAAAGAATATATGATAAAAATAACAAATATAAGAATATAATACATAAGAATAAACAAAAAATATTTAAGAATATTAATATTATTTCTTTATTATTAAAATTTTGTTAACAAATGTGTAGAACCTGGTGATCATATTGAGAGTGTCATAGTATATAAAAATAAAAATCACAATAAATTAGAATATTGGATACATTTATATATAGGTTATTTATATGTTGTCAAATGATTCTTGTTTGAAATAAGACAAGATATGTTAATAAATAAACTACAGTTACACCGAATGACCTTTAAATGAGTGTTTTCTCTACAATACAAATGCATGATTTTCATGAAAATGTATGAATATTTGCTTAGAAAGAAAAAACAAACAGGGACATTTAAATCAATTTTAAATAAATGAATAAAATTGTATTATACATTTTATTACATCCTTGAAAATCCTAAATTTCGTCTTTGACCCAAATGCAATGCCGTTATGAAAATGAACCATATTCGTTCATTCATTTGTGTGCGCTTTTTAAATCTACACACCCAACACATTGCAACAATGCCCCCCAAACATCCCTGAGGACCTCAAGTACAATAAACAGGAAACATTTCCTTTAATCCTGATGCCCCCCTTCTTTCTTTCTCCTCTCTCTCGCTCTCTCTCTCACACACACACACACACTCACACACACACCTCCGTGTCTCTACGTGGGGGAAATGCCTCGTCAGTCACGGCCCAGCAATCACACAAAGCCAGAGAAAGGAGGACCTCACTATGGTAATCCTGCCAGGCCTATTCACAATGACACACACGCGCACACACACACACACACACACACACACGAACACACTATAATGTACCTCTCATATGAATATTAGCAATATTTTCATAAATCCACCAATAAATCTCCCTTGCACACCTAAATAAAATAGTATGTGGGGTTTTTGCAAGTGGCATCTACACAAAATAAAACCATTGCCAGAGGGGGCGCTAGAGAGTAAGCAATAATCAACGCCACAAAAAAAAAAAAACAACACAACTTTTCCCTACCATACAGCGAGACCGAGATGGAGGAATGAAAAGTAGAGCATGGGAGGAGGGAATACCGGAATAGTGACAGATGCTACTTGTACGTCTCATAGGTATGCTAATTAACATAGAGCTAACAAATAAAAATAAGAGGTGTGTGCGGCGGGTGCAACTTCATCAGTGTGTAAATGTGTGTTTTAATGAATTCCAGCTGACTAATAGTCTAAGGGAGAAGAAAGCTGGCGTGCGCCTGGCCACCATGTTTGGGTCCATGGAGAACTTAACGGATGTGTAGGAGAAGCTAATTAAGCATGAACACAAGCTCCCATTGGAGAAAAAGAGACTGAGACACCATTCTGTCTTTAAGACGACTCTGTGTGTAGGGAACAGGCCATGTGACGGCATATCTCAAAACACAAACTGCCTGGGACTCTCTGACTGTTTCCTCTCAGAGACGAATCATGGTCTTGAACTAAACTGCTGCTTGAAACTTCTTAATGGAATCCCTCCTTGGACAATTCATTTAGCCTGAAGCCTCAAGTAAACACGCGGCCAAGAAGGAATCAATCACAAAGAGTCAATATACACAGCAAATATGCTCACAATTCTGGGGTCAGAAAGATTCAAAAACTGAAACATATCTATGTGCACAGAAACTGCATCTAAAAAATTATGAAAGTTATTGAAATTTCCATAGCTATATGATCCTTCAAATTAGGGCTGCATGCTGCATGGGAAGAACAATTACATTGTAACGTTCTGCTTTTCTGCAATATACAGGGTCAAGTCTGGTGACACTGATGAACATGAAAGTGAAGCTAAACATCTTCCAGGGCCTAAACAGTGTCCAGATCGAAAAAATATTGACCCACTTTGGAGGAGCGAGTCAGGAAACATTTTCCTCCACTAGCATCATATAGTGACCTGGCCACTATTCTGCAAGAAGAATGGCTCAAAATCCCTCTGGTCACTGTGCAGGAATAGTATCTCATTCCCAAGACAAATTGATGCTGTATTGGCTGCAAAAGGAGGCCCTTCACAATACTAATGAATTATTGTGGTCTAAAACCAGGCAATTCAGTCTCATTGTCCCCTGCATATTTTGATAGGAAATCTATTTCACCAGATGGCTTCAATAACTCGAATATGTGTGAAGAATTCACTACTTTAACCTTTTAACTTCCCTACCAAGAAGAAAACTTTTGGATTGCATTTCTGAACTCCTATTGTCGCTAGTTAACACATTTAATGCATTTTTCCAACACATCCCATAACCTCTACCAAATGATTGATTTGCCGGTTTATGGTAAAAGCACTGGAATTTATAGATATACTATAAAAAAATCTGAAAATATGAAGTGTAAGGCAATTTTATTATTTTTAAAAATTCAAAAAAAAAAATTTTTGAATTCTAAATCCCCTAGTGACGCAGTGGCGCAGTAGGTAGTGCTGATACCTCACAGCAAGAAGGTCTGGTTCGAACCTCGGCTGGGTCAGTTAGCGTTTCTTTGTGGAGTTTGCATGTTCTCCCTACATTCGCGTGGGTTTCCTCCGGGTGCTCCGGTTCCCCTCACAGTCCATAGACATGCGGAACAGGTGAATTGGGTAAGCTAAATTGTCCATAGCCATGTGAATGAGTGTGTGTGGATGTTTCCCAGAGATTGGTTGCGGCTAAAAGGGCATCCGCTGTGAAAAAAACATGCTGGATAAGTTGGCATTTCATTCTGCTGTGGTGAGCCCGGATTAATATAAGGACTAAGCCGAAAAAGTTTTTCTAGAGATGGATTGTTGATTGGATGAATGTTGGCCCAATAGGGAATATTAGACAGAGGAAAATTAAGACCCGTTTAAAATGATTTAATACCTACCCAACAATATTTCAGTGAATTTACAACTTTTTAAGGCCTAATTTTGTTTTTGAAATTTAAGAATTTTTAAGAACATGAAAACAGTAAAGATACGGTCAACCATTTGGTAGAACAAGAAGTTAAGGTTCCTTCGATTTTATTGAGGATTGAATCTGCATAAAATATATTAAGCTAGATAAAAGACAAAAATATTTTTATATTTTTCTGAGAGGTCATAATGATAGTCAGGCACAGATGTTGAATAGTCAAGTATAATAAAATAACACTTTGCAGTCTTCTACATATAAATTAAATGAAATCAGTCTTAGATAAGCCTATA